CCGGGCTGGGGAATCGAACCCGCCACCTTAGGTGTACGTGGCTGGCGCCTTAGCCGCTTGAGCCACAGGCGCCGAGCCAGGAAACCCTTTTTTAACCTAGTATCACTCAAAAAGGAAAAGGCAGACAGAATTAAAAGATTAAAAAACAAATCTTATTCGAAACGTAATTTCCTTTGGTGTGTTACTTAGGATTAAAGCACACAAGCAGACTGACTTGACTCTGCTGAAGTAATCTACTGGAAACCCTCCTCTCTGGCACTGACTCACCGTCTCATAAAACTGCACCTGCTGCTCCAGGTACAGGCGGATGACGCTGTTGTAGTCGTAGATCCGGTTGCTGTGAAAGTGATTCATCTCAGCTACAACCCAAACCGAGACATCAGTCAGTTTTCCCTCCTGGCAGCACCTGGTCTCCCTGCCCAGTCATGATTAATCATCAACCAGACCCAGCCCGCTGGTGGCTTCTGTAAGTGCCAGTTCTTGGCAATTCACTTTCTCAAAAGGCTGGAGAGAAAAGCTGAACAGTTAGGGCAAACACCACTTTCCAGCCAATGCACGATTCTCACTGATTTGCATATTAAATACTCTAAAGGCCAATACAGATAAATCATCCCAATGCGGATTACTCTAACAGAACTGACTAAACAGGAAACAGATCTGGCCACGTTCTCTCTGCAGATGACTGCAGTGCAAAGTTCCAAGTGAGTCCGGCTGGACCCTCAGGCCCCCGGGGATCTGTGCTGTTCCCTCCTGTGGGGGAGGTGGGTGGGCTCCCGCAGGGACCCTTCTCTGGTAAGGGGGTGTTGCTGCCCGTGCTCAACCTCTCACCAGGCAGGAGGATTTGGCGCTGGGGATTATATCCTTCACCTGTGCTGAACACACGGGTACCTCATTTCTGTCTCCCCAACCCTGCCCCCCAACTCTGGGGACGCCTCCTTCACCACCTCTCCCAGTGCCTCCTTTCCCGCACACATCAGGCCTGGGAGGCCAGCTGCTGCCCCAGATGTCCACAGCAGCTAACTGTTCTAGACTCAGTTACCTGAAGTTGTACCAAGCTTATTTACAATTTGGATCACCTTAGACACAAATCCAAAACCAAATTCTGTTTCAAATACTTCAAAACTCGCATTTTCAACAAGGTCTCCATGTGTTTTCCACTAGCTGCTTTAGCTCTGGGTACCTTCCACACAAGCGTCTCCTCCCACGAGTTCCCAGTGCTGAAGGTTGCCCCTAGAGAAGCCTGTGGACACGCTTCACTCTCTTCTCCCTGAAACCGTGTGTTCTTTAGGGCCTCGGAACCCCAGGCCATGAAGGGGACAGCCTTCTAGTTGTGCTCTGGGACGATCATCTGCCCTCCATCTCCCTCTCTACTTAACCCTTCACTTGATGAATGACTGTTTGCCCTCCCTTGAAACCTTTCAATAGCCTTATAATGCCCACATCAAGCCTAGACTCTTCTGTGTGGTTTCAAGTTCTTCCACAATCATCAAGATTCATTTCCCGATAACCTAAAAGTCTGTTCTGTTCTTCCAGGCCCACGACATAATCTGGCATTATGATTTCATGTGCTTTGTCCATACAGACAGCCTCCCACCCACTCCCACACAGGAAAAACCCACTTACTGCTCCCATCTGCTCAAAAACACGCAGATCTATACAAGTTTGACGTTTTACTGTCAAAAGACAGTCAAACTATGCTGAAAATGATACATCCAAACCCCTTCACATTCCACGGTCCACTCATGTATAGACTGCTAAAAGCTGAACTTTACAGCATTATGTGTTAAGGATTATAAAAGGAATCTTCAGTGTCTCTCAAATAAAATGTACAGGTTTAATCAAGCTGTCACTCATAGGGTTATTGAGAAATGTTTGAAAAATTAAATATTTATAAATAAATTACAGCTTTTCATCGACACTGGGATCCTGCAAACAACAGGACTTAGGAAGGCATTTAGAACCAGCTCTTATCTGACTGTTGTTCACATCGCGATTTCTCTCCAGCAAGGGAAACCACCTGCGGGAGTGGGGGCAGAGCCCTCTGGTAGCTGCTCGGAACCTTTTATTTTACCTTGTAACGCGTAAGACATGGTGCTAAGTCGTTTTGCCATGTTCTGTTTGTCTTGTGGGGTGATTTTGCTAGTTGCAACCAGTTTATCGCTTTCTTTCACTTTTTCTATTGCTCCCTGTGAAATATAAAGTGAAAGAGTATTAATAAAACAAAACTAAAACAATTAGTCATTAGTTTAAAACATAACAGTGCTCATGTGGCCTGTACATGACTTGCTATTGAAAAGAAAAACATCCCAGCAAAATAAGAACAGAAGAAAGCACCTAAATTTAACTCACTTCAAGTCTCTTGGAAGCAAGAAGGTTTATTCTTGAAAAATGTAACTAAGCTAAAATTTACAGTTTGATGCTACAACAAAAGAGGAAACCAAACAGTACCATCTATTATCGTCTCTGCAATATTTAGAAGCCGCTGCCATGTTAAGAGTAGAGCATGATAGGAAAGCCAGCATTAGTAGGCTTAGAAAGTCATCTGGACTCAGGGTGGAGCACGCACATGGGAACTCTTTCTCTTCTCTTGTAAAACAGAACATTTTACAAGCTAGTGCTCAAGGATGCTAGCTATAAGGGTTCAGCTTTATTTTGATTTTTGTAAGAGCCACCGAGTCAATTTAAATCAACACTTAGATAGAAGCTGTAAAGACGGCCAGACATTTTCCTTGTTATTTAGGGCTGCCTGGAAAGAAAAACTCTCTACTCCTGCAGAAATGAGGTACCAGACCTAAAACTCTAACTCTGTTGGCATCAATTCCTACCAGCTTATTGCTCTGAGTTTTACATTAAGTTACATAAAGCTTCTAAATTCCCTATGATACCCTTTCATGATATTTAAATTTTAAAGAAAAATATGGAAATAGCCACATCGGGATTGTTAAGAACATAGACTAGCCCCTTGCAGAGATTTTCTGAACATACCCCAAAACACTGCAATATACCTGGGTACCACAGTTAAGCAAACAAGACTCACAGCAGAGGTAGTGCACAGACTTTGAAAAGAGAAAACCAGAATTCAAATGTGAAAACGCCCCAAACCAATTTTTTACTTTAAAAATCATTATGATGGGAGTTATATAGTTTTTTTTTTTTTTTTTAAGTAATAAATATAACATATAAAAATAACGCTGACCACAGCTGTGCAGCCTGCCCTGGTCCACCTGGTGCTGTTGTCTGCCATCAGTTACCTTGTGGGTGCCAATGATGTCAGGGAAACAGCCCAGAAAGCCTTTATACTCATGATTGCATTCCATCAGGAAATGGAGATCTTTCTTTGGCTAGAACAAGACACAGGTTGGTTGTTACTGGCAGAGGAACAAAGACAATCAGAGAAAGGAAACTATTATACCGAGGACTATAAATCTATGTACTACACTAAGTTATTGAGTATTAGGCATTCAGATTAATTTTCCTAAAATAAAATAATTCCCAAGACTCTTTACCATATCCTGAATCATATGTTGTAAGGAAAATGACAGAACACTGTACAGTTTTTAAGTAGGTATATAAAATTAGTTATTGTGAGGTAGCCAATACCATGAGGAAAGAAAATTTAGTTAATACTGTATGTTTACATAAAAGCAAATAAGTTGTTATAGTTCAATATGCAGATTTTAGCAGAGAAAAAAAATTATTAAATAACCTGGTAATCATGTTCAGTGGCCACTTCAAGTTTTTCCATTTTTTTCTAAAGTTTTTAATAGCTATTTTACTAACAATTAAAATTTTTTATAAGTAGTTAATGACCCCACATCAGTGTGTGTGCAGCATCTGTGTGCCCACAAACGTAGTATTTTTTAAAAGTCATACAAAAAAATTTCTTTTTAATTTAAATGTTTGAAATAACTTAAGATTCCTTATAAGGGAACTTCTTATTTGTTATCTGGAAAAAAAGAAAAAAACTACCTGAAATGGGGCTTCTAAAGACTCCAATAAAAACTATACAGCTATTGGGCGGTGCCTGTGGCTCAAAGGAGTAGGGCGCCAGCCCCATGTGCCAGAGGTGGTGGGTTTAAACCTGGCCCCGGCCAAAAAAAACCTGCAAAAACCCCCCACAAAAACAAACTATACAGCTATCACCAGGACTTGTGCTGTCTGGGGGATGGCAGCAGGTGCTTTTTCCCCTGTGGTATTTCCTGAGACTTAGTAGTAGCAGGATCTTTTTATTAGCTATTCAGTTCCGAGAAACATACCAGATAGGCACTACCTTGCAATTTAAAGGATGAGGAAACCAAGGCTCAAAGAGAATGAATGCTAGTACAAACAGACCTGAGCTGGCCATCTTTTCTGTACGTCAGAATCCCGTGATGGCTAAGAATGGATCAGAGGCATCACACTGAAATGCATTCATTTAGATTTCTTTTCTTTCTTTTTTTTTTTTTTTGAGAGAGAGTCACACTATGTTGCCCTTGGTAGAGTGCCATGGCGGCACAGGTCACAGCAACCTCCAACTCTTGGGCTTAAGCGATTCTCTTGCCTCAGCCTCCCAAGTAGCTGGGACTACAGGTGCCCACCACAATGCCCAGCTATTTTTTAGGTTGCAGCCGTCATTGTTGTTTGGCAGGCCTGGGCCAAGTTTGAACCCGCAATCTCTGGTGTATGTGGCTGGTGCTCTAGCCACTGAGCTCCAGGCATTGAGCTCATTTAGATTTCTTGACACAAATTTATCTGATCACTTTGGCTTACCATAAGAGACAATGTCATCAAATATGATTAACAAGGATACACAGAACAGAAAAGAACATGATGTATCTATTTGGAAAGTCTGACATAAGATAGGTTTTACATATGTGGATTAGATAGCATCAAATCTTTTTTTTTTTTTTTTTTTTGAGACAAGAGTCTCAAGCTATAGCCCTGGGTAGAGTGCTGTGGCATCAGAGCTCACAGCAACCTCAAACTCTTAGGCTTAAGTGATTCTCTTGCCTCAGCCTCCCAAGTAGCTGAGACAACAGGCTCCTGCCATGATGCCTGGTTACTTTTTTTGTTGCAGTTGTCATTGTTGTTTTAGCTGGCCTGGGCCCTGTTAGAACCCACCAACCTTGGTGTATATGGCTGGCGCCCTACCCACTGAGCTATGGGTACCACCAGATCGCATCACATCTTAATTGGAACTGTGGGATGATGTCAGTACCTGTTCTGCCACGAGACTGGCAATTTCTTCATAAGTCTTTCCTGCTTCTGTTATTGCATCATTGAGGTCTGTTTCACCTGAAAATGATCACAGTTTTATCTGTGGCTATAAGTTACAAATATTTTCATCTGTTTTATTAAAAATTTCTCATAGGTTTTATTATAGAGAATTTCAAATATTTTGGAAAGTAGCAATAGCAAGAGTAGTATAATGAAACCCCATCATCCATCACCAACCACCCAAACGGCAGCTCATGGCCAACCTTTCTTTAGCTACATCTTCTCTACCTTCCCCTTTCACTAGACATACAATGCTTCACCCATAAATTTTACCCCAAAGATACAAATAGGGACAATGCCATTGCCACACCTAAGACAAGACCATCACTGTGATATAAATGAGGCACCTCAGAGCAAGGACGCTGCTTGAATCAGGACGGAAAGGAGGCCCACAGAGCCAACGTGCTTTTACCGCTACCGTTTATTCTCTTTCACCCCAACCCCCCTTTTATTCTCGCAAGTATACTTTTGTGGGATACTGAACTCAAGTCATTTGCCTTGATACCAAATTCTGGATTTTGCTAACACATTTCTCTGTCCTTGTATTTTCTTTTTTTTTTTTTGAGACAGAGCCTCAAGCTGTCCCCCTGGGCAGAGTGCCGTGGCATTACAGCTCACAGCAACCTCCAACTCCTGGGCT